CCTGGGATAATACAGGAGGTATGTGTCGTGATAAAGGGCGAATTTCAAGCCAAGAATTTTTAAAAATTATAAACGACTGTTTTTTAGTACAAGCAGTTTATAAACCTACTTTTAACCATAACTTTCTTGATATAATTTTAATTAATGATCCCGATCGTATATATGCAGCAGAAATAGTCCCGCATATCGGATCCACGGAACGAAATTAGTTCCACAAGACATTGTTGTGGGAATATCAAGTTAAGGATCCTTTCTGTTCAAAAAACAATCAAAGAAATCTACCAGACTACAAATGTGGTATTTATGAAGCTATAAGTGAAGCACTTGATGATATTAATTGGTATATGAACTTTTATGAATATGACACTAACCAATCTAATAATATTTTAATTGACTAATATAATAAATTAGTTAAGAAGTTTGTTCCCATGAAATCCCTCTCAACCTTTGACTTATCCAAATATGTACCTAGATTGATGAATAAAGATATCAAAAAAGCTTCAAAATATAATTTGTATATGTATTTTCAAAAAAATGATTGCAGCATCTAAACTAAAAAAAGGTAAGCTTAAAACTGAATTCAACAAACAATGCAAATTAGTTAAAAAATTAGTTTATAAAACTATATAGTTTTATAAATAGTTTTATAAAGTTTTATAAAGTTTTATAAAGTTTTATAAAAAACTAAATAGTTTTATAAAGCAGTTTTACAATATGAAGAAAGTACTTCAATGCATGCAAAACAAAATCTTAAAATTTTATACTTCTACATTTACAAACAAAAAAAATAAAAACTGATATCAAAGTAGTATTTAATGCTCACAGGAAACAAATTACAGAGAAAAAAGATATTGCTAATTGTTTGAACAAAAAGTTCCATAAAGCTTTTACTCAGGACCATAACAGAACATTTCAGATTTCAAACCAAAAACTCAAACTATATCTTCTGTTGACAATAAAACTCTATTTAGTAATACTCGAGTAGCCACTTTACTGTACAGCTTAGACATATCGAAACCGACTAGAGCAGACCAGCTTCGTTCTTCCAAAATATTACAAGAACCTGAGTTTTCCATTATCTTACATGTTTATCAAATTTTTTGAAACAGGTGTTGTTCCCTCGCTATGGAAAGATGAAAATATCACACCCATCTTCCAGAAAGGATGTAAACTTGAACCAATAAACTACTGTCCAATCTTGTTGATTTCAATTGCAAGTAGGATCATGGAGAGATTGGTGAGAGAATACATGATGTAGCACCTTGCTAAACTCAAACTACTATCTATTCACCAACATGGATTTGTTAGTGGTAAATATTGTGCCACAAACCTCTTGGATGTGTTAGATATAATTACAGAGGCACTAAACCATAACTTTATGGCTGTCCTAATCTTACTAGACTTTTCCAAAGCTTTTGACAGAGTAAGCCACGAACTACTTAATGTAAAACTTAATGGCTATTATTTTTTAAAAAGTAGACGACAGCGAGTACTCTTGGGTGGTGTGTATTCTGAGTGGGCAAAGGTAACGAGTGAGGTATCACAAGGATCGGTTTTTGGTCAACTACTGTTTTTGATATATATAAATGACATGCCAGAAATAGTCAAGAATTTTTGTAAGCTTTTTGCAGATGATAGCCAGTTTGTTGCTATAATCAAAAACAATATGGATATCATATGAGTTCAAAATGACTTTGACACCCTCATTGACTGGTCGAAGCTATGGGAAATATCCTTCAATATTGAGAAATGTAAAATTATGAAATTCGGTGAAAAACCAAGCAAAAATCTAGATAACTGTTACTTCATTATGAAAGACAATATTGGAGCTGTTTTTAACCTTCAAACAACAACAATTGAGCAAAATCTCGGTGTAATTTTTTAACAATAAATTAGAATGGAACTACCACATCAAACATGCAATAAATAAAGCAAATCTAACTCTAGGTATGCTCAAACAAACATTCAAATCTTGGACGAGGCATATTTTTGTTAGATTGTTTACAACCTTTGTTCGACCTCATTTGGAATATTGTGCATCTGTTTGGAATCCTTTTTGAAAAAAAGACATAAAGGCTCTAGAAAACGTCCAGAAAAAGGCAACAAAATTTGTTCCAGCAATCAGAAATTTAAATTACAAAGCTCGTCTAACTTATCTCAATCTACAAACTTTAGAACAAAGAAGGCAACGAGGGGACATAATACAATATTTTAAAGCATTCAAGGGATTTAATCAAGCAAATTGGTTTCATATCAACGCCATACCACATTCCACACAAGTACCTGCAAGTAATGTAAGAAGCTCTAAATTAAGACTGTCGAGACAATTTACCAGAAGCCAATCTGGATATTACTTCTTTACAAACAGAATTGTATTCTTATGGAATAAGTTGCCAAATTAAATTATTGATTCGATAAATGTCAACGAGTTCAAAAATCAATATGAAAAGTTCATTGTCGCTAAGCAGGCATCTGCTAAAGTCTGCTTGACTTCATGAGAAATTTATTTTTTTTTCATCGCAGATTTTTGTTTTATACTATATTATTAGACATCGGTTGTTACAGATAATCTAGCAAAGCGCACTAACCGCAAAAATTATTTTTTGGCAATTTACTTCTTCAAGGCCCTAGCATGTATTGTTTTTTTTGTTTTTTTTGTATACAATCAATGTTTATTCTATTGTAGATTTCAAAGAAAAATCAAAGAAACTAATTTTTTAGGATTATAATGCTACAAGTAAGTAAGCTATAAGTAAGTAAGCTACAAGTAAGTAAGCTACAAATAAGTAAGCTATAAGTAAGCTACAAGTAAGCTACAAGTAAGTAAGCTACAAGTAAGTAAACTACAAGTAAGTAAACTACAAGTAAGCTACAAGTAAGTAAACTACAAGTAAGTAAGCTACAAGTAAGTAAGCTATAAGTAAGTAAGCTACAAGTAAGTAAGCTACAAGTAAGTAGGCTGCAAGTAAGTTAACTACAAGTAAGTAAACTACAAGTAAGTAAGCTGCAAGTAAGTAAACTACAAGTAAGTAAACTACAAGTAAGTAAGCTAAAAGTAAGTAGGCCAGAAGTAAGTAAGCTACAAGTAAGTAAGCTACAAGTAAGTAGGCCAGAAGTAAGTAAGCTACAAGTAAATAAACTACAAGTAAGTAAACTACAAGTAAGTAAATTACAAGTAAATAAGCTACAAGTAAGTAAGCTACAAGTAAGTAAGCTACAAGTAAGGGTAAAATTCAAAATATAGCAATTTTAAAGCATGGTTTTGAAACAACAAAAAGTTTAACTATGTGCATTTTTTTACTTGCACTGTAGAAATCTACTTGAAGCACAGGAAAAAAAAAAAAAAGTATGCGCCACGTGGTCAATTTTTTTATAATTTGTTTTTCTCTATATTCTTTTTATAATTTTTGTATCTCAAATTTTAAATATTTAATTTTGCTAAAAAATGCTTTTCAAAGTAGCTATTGTACTCCATACATAAATATATTCACATAATGACCCAGATTTTAAAACTCAGAATCTCCACTATCACTATTTCCGCAATAAATCGGAATTTTTAAACAAAATAGACTAGTTGCCTCTTTTTATTGTTTTCTACAAAATATCTGAAAACAAAGACAACTTAAAGACATCAATTCTAGAATTTGCCTGTTTTGTCAATTATTTCTCTTGCAATAGTTCTCAAGACTTTTTAATACTGTTGAATCCTGTTTAAACTATGTTGAATCGTGTTTAAACTATGTTGAATCGTGTTTAAACTATGTTGAATCCTGTTTAAACTATGTTGAATCGTGTTTAAACTATGTTGAATCGTGTTTAAACTATGTTGAATCGTGTTTAAACTATGTTGAATCCTGTTTAAACTATGTTGAATCGTGTTTAAACTATGTTGAATCGTGTTTAAACTATGTTGAATCGTGTTTAAACTATGTTGAATCCTGTTTAAACTATGTTGAATCCTGTTTAAACTATGTTGAATCGTGTTTAAACTATGTTGAATCCTGTTTAAACTATGTTGAATCGTGTTTAAACTATGTTGAATCCTGTTTAAACTATGTAAATAATTATGTTCTCGTAATAAAAAATTTTCTAAACAATGACTAAATTTTTATGTCCAATAACATCAAAAATGAATTTTTTAATAAAATAGATAATATTCAGACGAGTACAAATTCCGAAACTTAATACGTTCATAATAGCGAGAACTGAAGATGTTAAAGCAAAAACACAGTAGTTGGAGACTGGATCTAAAAAAATCTAGAATTTCTGCAATTGTTTTAATTTGTACAAAGTTTTTTCAATAGAATTTAAATATTGTTAAAATTTAGTGAGTTAGAACTTATCTATTTATTTTTTTTCCTTGAAAAAAATATTTTAAAAGGTTCACATTAAGTAGCTAACATTTAAAGTTATTATAACTGTAACTTTTGTTTCTAACATTTTCATTAACTTTTGTTACTAATGATTATTTGTTTATATTTAAAAATAAGTCTATAATACTTATTTTCATTTCATTATTTATAATGAAATAATACATTTTTTTTTCTGGATTTTAAAATTTCACGGTTATCTCTCTTTTACTGTATTTTGTTCTTAAATAATTTCATCAAATTCATCACGATTTCATTAAAATCATCACGAGCTAAAATATTTCTTACATAGCGTATACTTTTTCTTACTTTTTATCTAAATTTTTAAAACATTTAAAAAGTTCTAAGGCTTACAAGACTAAATGATAAAATAAGTTTTCTTCTTCTTGCTCCAGTCACGTTTTAAATTATTTTATGATAATTTCTTTTATTATTTTTTTTGCATTGTTTTATTATAATTTCTTTATTATAGTTTTTTGCATTGTTTTAGCATAGTTTCTTTATTATAATTTTGTATTATTTTATTATAATTTCTTTATTATAATTTTAACAAACCGAAAAAATATATTAATAAATGAATTAAAAAAAAAAAATTAATGGAAAAAACAAAACAAAAAAACTCTTATAAACCTTATCTTTTTCAAGAGATTGGACATTTAAAAACTTTTGAATTACTTCAATGCCATATGATGTCCAGACTTTATGGTTTGTATTAGTCGGGTAATCTTGTATTGTAAGATTTGCAACTTTTAAACTATAGTTGTTTTCGCATGTAGAAATGACGTCAAAAGTTTTGTTCTTATTATTTGCAGGTATAAATCCTACGTTGGCATTTCCACCAATAAACATTAAGTCGCAACCTGTATTGAAAAATAATATTTAAGTAAATCTGACTAAATGTAAAAAAAAAAAAAATATTCTTGAAAATAAACATTATAATTTGTTTTTTTTATAAAAAAAAAATTAACACTTATCCGTTATCTCAAACCTTCATTTTTCATAGATGTGAAACAATGTATTGAAAAAGTTTCATCTTGATAGATTATAAGTGTCCCCATTGGACATGAAACAGCTTTGTTATCCGATTCATCACCGAGTTCGTTTCTAGTGATACCTACACCATTGACGGACCATAGCCGAATTAAAATAATTAACAAACAAAGCTCTTTCATTATAATATTGAATGAATCACAAAGTTTTTGTTAAAAGCAAGTTATTAGAAAGACATATTGCATATTTTTACATAGTATCAGTGCTTTAACTTTGTGTATTATTACTTAACTTTTAACGTTTTTCTAATCAAAATATCCATTCAAAAATCTTTTTTATTTTATTTTTATAGTTAGTAATGAAATAGCTAATAATTAAAGCTAATTATGCAAATTATGCTAATATGCTAACAATAAGGGCTATAGTTAAAGCTTATACGCTCTTTAGTTTCAATTCAAGAGATTGAAAGTCAAAATTATCATTTTCTTATAAGCTTATTGCGTTAAAAACAAATCTTTTACAATAATAATTTAATTGATGTCTAAAATTAATGCATTTTATAGAACATTTATTTAGTAAATATTTATGACTCCATTTTATTTACAATTAAATGTCAATTTTATTATTAAAAGTATCTAAAAATAAAATACATTTCTTAAAAATCCACAAAAGATTTAAATTGTCAGAATGAAAGACCTTAATTCAACCAAGGTTTTAAAATATTATTTCAATTAAGGGTTTAATGGCTGCGCTTTTTGAGAAAAAATATTACCAGAGAACATTAAAGTAAAAAAAGTCATGATTTTACTCATGTTAAAAAAAAAAAAAACCTATTTAAAATGCAAAAAAAAAAGTTCCGCCTACACTGACTCACAAAAACATGTTTAAATGTTTTTGTGAGTCAGTGTTAAAAGTTAAAAAATCAAGCAATTAAAATTTAAAAATGGCAATTTGTTTTGTAATATTATTACTCCTTATTGTTTTCTGTGCTTTTATCTATCTATCTATGTATCTATCTATCTATCTATCTATCTATCTATCTATCTATCTATCTATCTATCTATCTATCTATATATATATATATATATATATATATATATATATATATATATATATATATATATATATATATATATATATATATATATATATATATATATATATATATATATATATATATATATATATATATATATATATATATATATATATATATATATATATATATATATATATATATATATATATATATATATATATATATGTTTTGTTCATTTTTGTTTAATTTAGTTTTGTCTCTAATTGCTCAATTTATTTGTTCTTTTTTTTATTTTTCTTAAATTAATAGTATTTTATAAAAGTTAGTTACTTTTTTATTTTGTTCACTTTTGATTAGTAGAAGGTAATTTTAAAGAAAAGATCACAATCTCTTAGTTTCTTTTACGTTTATTTTTTACTACAGTAGTAATACTACTAGTAATAGTGATATTGAACTGGATACGAGGCTCATAGAAATAACTCTTTAAGCCTCATATCCATTTCCCAGTGGGCACCGGACCAAAAAAAGACGTCTTTTGAACGTTTAAAAGACGTCCAAAAAGTTTAAAAGACGTTCAAAAGTCGTCTAAAACGTGTAAAAGACGTTTAAAAGACGCCTTTTTTACGTCCGTGTCCACTGGGTTAAGTTATTAGTGTAAATGCTAATTGACAACTTAAAAATAATTGTTTTTTAAATGAAAGAGATAGACCTAGGCGAGATGAAATTATTCGTCGTCAAAATGTAAGAAATGCTGCTCAGCGAGCAGAAATTAATTTGAACCCTAATAAGTTGAATGTGGTTTCGCGAGTAAATAATAACCATCGTCGAAATGAAAAAGATTGGCCAAGACGAGATAAAATTAATCATCTGCAAAATATATGAAACTCTCCTAGACAAGGAAGAATGCATTGTATAGCAAGCAGTAATACTATTCCAGATAATAACTTTTTAGGATAAATAAACCAGATCGGTCAGCAATGTGGTGCAAAAAAATGAAACACATTTTGCAATAATGGGAAGGTAGTTTTGACCCCATTTTCACCGTTTCCGCGGTGCTATATAAATCATAACTCTAATATGAATAATTTTTTATAAACTAGAAGTTATAAAGCCTGTCTTCCTTTTGCTTCATTTACAGCTAATGTCGTTCAACTTAAGTCTCATATTATATAATTAATATTACATTTTTTTAAAACAATATTGACACAACATGATTTAAAACTACTTACTTTTTCACTTGATAATATTTCTACCAGAAACTTGTTCTGAATACCAGCAAAACGCAACATAAGCATACTGTTTTAATGTTTTGTTTAATTACACTATCCGAGAGAAAAAAAACAGGCTGATTCTTTTAAGCACTTAGTTAGGAGTATTTGTAAAACTTACTGTTTCTAACGAGTACTCTCAAAGGGACTTGTTGTATTAGCAGGTTTTAATTGGAACTTGGTTAAAATACTTTAATTTTTATTCGCAAATAGCCGTATCAGCTATTTTCAGTCAGAACTTAGTAGGAATAATAAGCTTTTTACTTAGCACTTGGTTGAATTAGCCGGTTTTGGTACTTAGTACTAATTATCAGTATTACATTCAGAAGCTGGTTTTAATTGATAATAGAACTTCATACTTTTGGCTTTAAGTGGATGATTTGTGTTTTAAAGATTACATAGTTAAATTAGTAGAGTTACGTATTCAAGAAATATACGTGTTAAAGTAAAAATTTAATTTTTTAAAAATAATTAATTTTAAATAATTTTAAAAATAATTAATTTTAAATAAACTTGTCTTATTTAACTACTATAGTATTTAGTAATACATTATTATGTATGTAATGGATTTATAGGATGTTTAAACAATATCGTAGTAATATTAGTCGGACTTTTTTTTTTCTTGGGTGAAGTAGCGGTCACACGGAAGGTAAGAATGACCTCAAATAGCAAAGGAGTGACGAATACTGTCGGATTTGCCAGTTTCTATTAGAGCACGAAAAAACCGCTCAAACACGATGTTTTTGTTTTTTCCAGGTGCACCTTGGAAAAAAACATATGCCTAACATTAACATCAAGAACTTTATTGGTAAATCAAAATAAAATGAACAAATTTTAATAAACCTTGTCTTAACTATGTTCTGATGATATACATAAAACTTAATTTTATTGGTAGCAACATCAGGAATTCTGAATATGTTCACTGTAAACAGCCGTAAGTTAAGCATTTTATGAACTGGTGTTTGAGCAAGTTGATCGTTTTGAATAAAATCCACGAGGATCCCACTTACTTTTTCATTTCATGGCTCTGAAAAGCTTTTTAGGTCAAATTTTACAAACAACAAGTTCCGCAACATAAACGTTTTTTGCTACATCATTTAAAGATAGACTTTTTATTTTGACAATCACTTCCTCTCATTAACAACAAGATCAATCTGAGACTTCCCAATAATAAGTCAATATGAATCTATGTAGTTCTCAATAGCTTTTATGAAATGACCAAGTAAAGCGTTTCCTAAAGATAGTAGTTTACACAGTCTTTTGACACGTTCAGGGAATATTCCATGGACCGAAAGAAATGCACATTTACGTAGCTTTACATTTCCGGTAGACGTAGTTACAGAAAACACAAATAAGACTTTTGTTTATCAATTATTTCTTTATCGTCCATTTTATTGCCTTTTCCTTGCAATTGGCTTTCGCTCAATGTAATTTTCTATTCATTTTTTGTGTTAAAAGCAAAATTTTAACGCAAAAAATGAATAGAAAAAATGACGTTTTCAAATGACGGGTAACAGTCATTTTACAAAACACTTTCAAGACCTGATAAATGGGATATATAATTATGTTAACTTAGTAAACAAGAATACAAACGTACATGTGACTTCAGTACCGTCAGAATACAATTTTTCAACGTTTAGACATGTCGTCAACTAACGATGTATATCTTTGGCACCTGAAATAGTGGAGAAAAAGTAGCACTTCTAAACCGTAATTGGGACTTGTGTAACCTGGACACTTAAAGTAAAATAAAATTTATAAAAAGATCACTTCTATTTAAGTGAAATTATTGAATTAAAAGTTTTTATCAACTATTTATAAGAACAACTTTTATAAAAAATATTCAATTTGTTAATGGGTACCCGAGTACTCACCTGTTCGTTTAATGAGCAGGAATTTTGACAAGTTTCGGCAGCCTCAGACATAACAAAAGCATTGTCAACTTGTAAGAGGACATACACGAAAGATCATCTAAAATTATCATCTAAATCATCTATCATCTAAAATTACAACATTTATAACTTTATCTAGATTTGATACTAAAAATATTCCCAACATGCTGAAATCTCAAGGATAAGTAAAAAAATGTTGTTTTTTTCCAAAAAATATGTAATCTTATCAAAATTGCAAATACTTCATTACTATTTTAACAAAAATCGTCCATAAAGTACGTACGCTCGGAGAGGAAGAGGGGGTGTAAAAATGGCGTTTCTGAGATAAGGGGCAGTAGATCAATTATAGAAGTATGGAGACACTAAATTAAAAAAATACCATAAAATGTTGGATTGGAAGGTTAAACGCGTAGATACTTTTAGGGAGGTAGAGAGTAATCAAAAAGCGTATGGCAACTTGCAAGGGGGGTAGAGGGGGGGGCGTTAAAGCAAAAAAAAAGCGTACGTACTTTATGGACGACCCCTAAATCAAAATTGCGTATTATATCAATAACGTGGACGTCGCACTGAGTCCAAATTGGCCAAAAGTTGATTTTCAAAAGATTTCAAAATAATTATTATTTTGTTAATTTAGGACATATATTTATGTATTAACAGGAAAATATCTTTGCATAACTTTTATTACGTGTTTTATGAGTTTAACGAGTACCTTTTCGCGCCTAATAAACAAACTATATTTTTGAGAATAATTAACGAAACTTATTTATTTTCAAGTTCATTAATTTCTACATCATTATATAAGATCCTTACACTTTTTTTTAATTTAATTATCTTATTCTATTGTCAATGCCGATTTAATCAAAAAATATATTATAAATCGATTTTTTTGCTTTTGATTTTATGTTTTTGAAAAAGGGACTAAAATTTTTAAGTATTTAAATTTTTAAAAAAAGAATATTAAATTTTTATTATATTATACTATATTAAATTTTTAAATTTTAAAATTATATTAAATTTTTTAAAAAAAGTATATAAAATTTTTAATTCACGCTTTCACAAAAAGTAAAAAAACTTAAAATGTCCATTTTTATATATATATATATATATATATATATATATATATATATATATATATATA